GGAGCTACCCCCAGCCTACAGGGCCCAGGACAGCCAAGGTGGGTGCCAGCAGGAGCCCCCCATCACCTCGCCAGTTGCCCCACAGAGCAGCCCTGATTGCTGGCAAGGCCTAGGGACCCTACCCATGCACAAATTTCGTGCACCAGGCCTGTAGTATAATATAATATTCATCTCTAGCCTCTGGGATCAAGCACTTTTTCCAGCTTAATCTCCATCTATTAACCTATTTTGCAGAAACTATGACTCAACAAAAATGTGTTATTCAAAGAGTTACGTGAAATGTTCACCATCAGCACAACCAAGTCTTACTAATTCTTTTAAATCTATACCAAATGTTATTCCTACCCTGCCCCAAGTCCAAAGAAACTTGTCTCTCCTTTCAACTCCAACCACACTCAAACAAGTATTTAGGAGGGTACAGGTCTACGTTTCTCTCAGGAGGAGGAACATCTGGCCTGTGGGGCTGTATAAGGCCTGAGAAATCATTTGGTCTGGCCCTGCTACAGCATTAGGAGTGAGTTAATTAAATGTTTGACCAAGCATAGCAGGCTAATTTTTAAGTTGATAATTTTGTAAGGCCTCAGAATGATGTTATAAATATCCAAATGGATCACCCCTGCTCTACTACAAAGCAACCTCTGTAAGTATAGCAGTATGTTTATTCACCTTAATGTATCATTCAAACTATCTTACTTTTACACATACAAATAGGCCTCCAACTAGATGAATCCATAATAGAAATACTGCAATTAGAATATAAATTTATTTCCTATTAGAGAAAGTAAAATAACCTTTCCTCTTCCTTCTTCAAGACTCTCCTGGCTAGCAGCACAAATTAGACTCAATTATTCAAATCTGAAAAACGTGATAATAGACTGAACAATAATAAAAACGGCAGAGCAAGTTAAATAGGTGAAATCCACATAAAATCATGCTCCGCCTCTACATGTTACTTCAAAATGATAAATACTCTTGCAACAATTTATTTAAAAAATTACTTACTATTAGACTATACAAGGAGGGGCAAAAATTGTTCATATGGAAAACAATTAAAAAATGCCCTAGCCTGTTTGGCTCAGTGGACAGAGCGTGAGCCTGTGGACTGAAGGGTCCTGGATTTGATTCCAGTCCAGTGCACGGGTTGTGGGCTCGATCTCCAATAGGGGGCGTGCAGGAGGCAATTGATCAATGATTCTCTTATCATTGATGTTTCTATTTCTCTCTCCCTTTTCCTCTCTGAAATCAATTAAAAAATATTTTTTAAAATTAATAAAAAATATACAAGAATGAACTGTTTTGGTGCTTACAACCATAAACCTACTTTTGCATCACCCTACATATGATCAAAACAAAAATGAGTCAATACTAAGTAATTTTAGTCTAATAGTAGTCACATGTTAATAAGAAGTATTACCATAATAGAAGGAAATTATTTTCTTAATAGGAACATCCGCCATAATAGTTTACAAAGTGTGAAAAAATACCTCAATATATAAAGCCTCCAAATTTGGGTCACTTCTATGAGACTGATTGGGGTTTAACTGCTTATTATCTTGTCTCTTCTGCAAATTCTGTCTTCTTTCTGAGGAAGTACTATGTCCTCGGCATTTGAATCCAACCTAAGCAAACCCCAAAGTGGGGGAAAAACCCGTCTCATTATTTTTAAGTAAAATTTTTTGACATGTATCATACTTACAGCAAAGTATACAAAATGTGTACAACTCAATGAATTTTCATAAAAGTGCATAATTTATTATGAACAGTTAAAACTTTTGAGACATAAGGTCATTATAAGAAAAATAGGAAAATGTGTTATGTTACTTTTTGTTCCTATAAATGAATGTTTACAACAGTTTTATTAACAATAGTCCAGAACTGGAAACAACGTAGGTGTTCTTCATTGGGAAAATAGTAAATCGCACTATGGTATATCCATACTATGAAACAGTAGTCAGCCACTAAAAGGAGTGAACTATTGATATATCCAACAATCTGGATAAATCTCTAGGGAATCATTAAGTGAAAGGAAGCCAATCCAAAAGGACTATATGAGTTCACTTATATATTCTTGAAATGACAACATTATAGCAAGGGGAAACATACTAGTGGTTCTAGGGGTTAAGGAGAGGCTGGTGGGGTTGGGGACAGGAAAGGAACATGGTTATAAAAGGACATGAGGGATTCTCTTGCCATGATGGATCTGTTCTGCATCTTGACTGTGTCAATGTCAATACCTAAGTTATGATATTGTACTAAAATTTTGCAAGATGTCAATACTGGAGAAACTGAATATTATCTTTTTACTAAACTACTCTAAATCTTCCAATATCTTTTTTTTAAAAAAGAATCCCTATGAAATATTTAAACTTAAAATCTTGTTTCCAATAAAATAAATTTAAGAGGAAAAAATTTTCATTCAATCACAAATTATTATTATCCTATTAAGAACTTTATAGCTCTAGCCAGTTTGACTCAGTGGATAATGTGTCAGCCTGTGGACGGAAGGGTTCCAGGTTTGATTCTGGTCAAGGGCACATGCCCAGGATGCAGGCTCGATCCCCAGTGTGGGGTATACAGGAGGCAGCCGATCAATGATCCTGTCATCATTGATGTTTCAATCTCCCTCTCCCTCTCTTCCTCTCTGAAATCAATAAAAATATACTTAAAAAAAGAAATTTACAAAATGTTCAACTGTCACAGGGGCAAGGAAAAAAAATTAATTCATTTTTAAAATATTTTTTATTCATGCTACATTTTCACTGAGTTGTTTTTTTAAATGTTTTTATTTTGTATTTTAGAGAGACAGAAAAACTGATGAGAGAAAAAAATATCAATCAGCTGCCTCCTACAAACACTTTGTTCAACATCTATCACTAGTTCTTTTGGAATGAAGAGATACAAAATAAACAAAACTTAACATACCATATGTATTTTCATAATTTCCTTTTTTTTGTTGTTGTGTTTTTTTTGTTTTGTTTTGTTTTGTTTTCCATTTCTCACCAGTTTTGAGGTAGAGAGAAGTATTTTTCCTATCAGTATTATTTCCTCTCCAGTGGGCTACTGATACCAAAAGATTTGTACTAAGTACTGAGACTGCAAGATTGGCAGGCCTCGCAGATACACTTTTAAACATAAAGTTTCAGTACTTAACTAAACATTGTATAGATTTTGTTTATCTACTCTATTTAAATAACTCTTGTTTTAGCTTTTGTTTTTAATCAAATAAAACTAGACTGCTTCACAAACAATAACAACTCATTTTTGCACCAACCATAGGAAAGGCATTATTCTGCTTATTTTTCTAACAACCTAAAGTTAGGAACTTTTGAAGTACTTCATTTTAGGGAGTCAAAACAGGCAAGTATTACGTCCATTTGATCTGGTAATAACTTACTCTGATTTCAGTTCACCCACAAATCTATTCGTATAACCTTAATTCCTTGACTAGATTTAAGGAAAACAAGAAGTCTATCTAAAAGTCAAAAAAGAAAAATACCAACCAATATACAGTCCCTGATTTCATAGATAACCAATGCAGGAAGACAGTATTGGAAGTTTGTGGCAGTATATAACTTGCTCCACCCTACTGCAGCCAGATCCCGCTCCCCAAGGTCAGGAAGCTCCCAATATGGCTGCATTAGGAAGAGGCAGTCATCACTACTGCAGTGCATAAGCAGAGTGTGGCATATGGTGTCTGTAGTCAAGCAAAGTCACATGGACAAGGCTGCAGATTTGCCTGAAGTTCAAAGGATCAATATTTAAGGCACTGAAATTCTTTAAAATATTTATATGGATAAGTGAGCAGGTGAAGCAGGATTGAATAGCATTCTATTTTTATAGTATGAAATATAAAAAAATATTTCTTAAACACAGAGAAGTAGAGAATGGTATAATATATGCCCATGCATACACACCACCTACTTTCAACATTTTGCCATTTTGTTTCATTACTTGAATCATTTTACTGGCTAAGCCATTTTAAACTTACAGATATATTTTACTTTTAAGTACTTTAATATCCATCTCTAAAAATTAAAGACATTGACCTTCAAAATCATTATACCATTTAAAATAATAAATCTCACACTAATCAAATTTGTCCAACCAAATTCAAATTACCTGTGAATTTCTTTGTTCAGTCTGCCTTCCACCTCTAGAAAATGTCTGATTTTTTTCCATCCAAGGTTTTTTCTGAGTTGTCTGGCAAGTTACATTGGACCAATTTACACTACCTGTAACAAATGAGATTTAAAACATGACTTACTTACAGCAGAAGTCAAAAGCTAAATTGCTCCTTAACTTTATGTAATGAAATTCAGTCATTGTAAATGTAATAGTGGTAAACCTTCCATAAATTTTAAGTGGTATTAGAGTTCCTAGCAATATAAGTGTCATCTGCAGAATACCTCTGGCTGGCATATTCTCAATTTTATCAGTAAGACTGTATTTTTTATTTAACATCAATCTCTTTGGAAGATTTCTAATTTTTGCAAAATCAGCAAGGTTAATGCTTAAAAGCAAAACTTTGACATAGACAAAGAATAAAGTATAGCAAAAACACTATGCAGAAAAATAAGTACCTGCACATATAGATGATTCCACGTGCTAAAAATAGAAACAAGAGACAATTATTTTCTGCTCAAAATCAATATCACATTCCTTACAAAATGATTCCAAATCTAGTTTAGTGTGAAGGATGCTTATTACAATATGGAAAAAATACTTCTCCATAAAAGAATATTTTTCATAATAAAATATACAAAATGTTTAAAACCATCTTATCACTATAGAATTATTAATGAAAGTAGGTACGTAAGCTTTAGCAGAGGACCCAAGAATAATACTGACACATATGACTGATAAAGAAATCAAAGCAATGTCACATACATTCATGGCGCTAGAATCAGGATTTCGTAAAGCCCCTGTGGCGGGCTGGTTGTTGCTGTGTTTGGGACTGCAGTAGCCACTGTCACTGTCAATGTCAGCTTCACTAGCTCCCT